AAGTCACGAACAACGAGAGCTCGCCTTTGTCGGTCGTTGAATCGCTACGCGAACGAAACGTTTCAACCGTCGTAGTCTTTACCCCCCGACGTATTTGCTCGTTATCACGCCCCTGGGGGATCGTCGGGGCACGCGTCGTACCTGAATCGTCGTGGAATTAATTGCGCGGGACCGGCGATAAATATTTGAAATGAAATAGCGCGGGACACGCGAGAATATCGTCGACACCTCGGCCGGAGCTGAGCAAATTTGCTCGATGATTAATTAAGGAACGACGCTGGCGAGACGATGGCTAGGGTAGAGTTCCGCGCTGATATTTGGATTACGTGTGGACATAGCTCGCGCGTTTATCTGGACGTGTGCGAAGGTGGTTATGATTTCTGCGCTAATGACGAGGCAGAACGGTGGGATTCGAATAACGGAGTTCGGCTTCCTGAGATTTGTCTGGCGATTGTTAGGGGAGCGAATCTCGAAATCGTGTCTGCACGGGGTGTCTCAATGGTGTACGTGAATTGTTTGAAATTTGGAATTTTGAACGATTGTTTGATCTTTATATTTACTGCTATAAATACCGGGCGCCCTAACTCAATGGGAGTTTGGTTTACTTCCTTATTATCAGCGTTCTATGGTAAATTGAGTATCTCGTGGATACTCAGACCACCCTGACACCACTTGGACAAGGTCCTAGCAAGAGTATAAATTACCAGTAAACGAAGGGCATACTGGCTCGAATTGGTCTAAACTCTCACTGTCAGAGAAAGACTAGCGGGACCATAAAATACATGGAAACGCAAGTTAGAAGACAGTATTAGAGGCAATAACACATATAGACACGAACTACACATATGGACAAGAACAATGAAGAATATAAAATTATGAGTCACGATAATGTCATTTCATCAGTGCTTGGTAGTTCAGAATTAAAATTAATTCGACAAAAACGAAAGGAAAGAAGAAAATGAAGATTCACGAAACAAAATGTGGCGACCACTGTTCACGCACTCCTCATCAGAGGTAATCAAAGGGGTCCTAGGTTCATCAAATACTCCATGAACCCTCCACTTCCTAAAAATACAAATTCTGACTTGCCAATAGTATTCTGCATCTAAGGCAAGGACTTAACTAAATAGATTTACAGACGAGTCCTCTAGCAGGCCCAGGACAAAAAGTATCCCTTCTTCCTCTACCCCTTCCGCCCTAATCTACCCTTTAACGCGAAAAACATGTCCCAAAAACATCTCCCGCATCAATACCGTAGAGTCACACAGTCTCTACAACGCTGGAAAGTAGTTTGAACAAGAATTTCGTTGCATAAGGACTGGTTCTGAGTGAACCTCAAATCTAACTAACTCTATCTCTGGAACTCTTAGAAACAACAACTCTAAAAACTATCACTAACTTCCTCCATCTTCCAAAACGGAAGGCAAGCGCCTCCCCAAAGAGAGGAGAAAATTCCCTCCATGCCAAGGTCAGGGATGGAGGAGACTCTACCTTCCGGGTTAGGCCCTCCGAAGGATCACCCTCACGGAACAGCGGACGCGTCAGCTCACGTGGCCTGGCCCAAACCTTCTACGTCCTATCAGGCAGCCAGATTCTAATCGGTCCTCTAGACCTAACACCCTATGCTCATCAAGCCCTAATGAAAAGAACTGGTTTAAAAATATCCTACGATACCATTCCGCATCCTAGCAATAAAATCTCCGCGAATGTGACAATACCAACCAATTATTCGACACGTAGTATAACAAGCATAACTCGCTCTCACCCAGAAGAACTCTATTAACCGAGATTCACCTCTCTCCTTAATCAAACCTGAAGCAACTTTCGATCGTCCCGAACAACGTACTCTGACCACGTAATCCGAGTGCATGAAACCGCGTGGAAGTGACTTTTTCCACCCGGTTCCTTTTCTTCCAGCGAAAGAAACGAGGGAAAAAGCTTCGTACCGGTAGACGAGGCACGAAGAAGCGAGGATTTTGCTCCGTTGACGCATTGCTGAAAGCAGCGACGGCTATGCGGACGCGTTCTGTCACGTTCGCGAGTCGTCTGGCCTGCAGTTGGTGGAGCAGGCCGAAGAACGAGGGAAGAAAGCACTTAGTTCCTGCGTATCGCGACGCGTATTGTTTACCTAGGGGTGGCTCCCGCGTCTCGCGCTTCTTTCTCAATTCGCAGGGAAACGCATTCAGCGCGAAGAGGAGGGAAAGGGTAATGCATCGGATCTTAATAACGGGAATATAGACGACGGCGTGATTGTCTGAGTTAATTTTCGGAATGCGCGCGCTGTTCCTGTCAGAATTTCCTGCGTGCTTGCGCGAATGCGGATTGTCGCGGCGAAAGGAGAACGAGTGTGAGATTTATCCGCCGAAATGAAAGGGTCGGTATTGGAACGACGTTGTTGAAGACGCGAGCTTTGGTTCTCTCTGAGACTGGGAGATCATTTCTTGGTAGTTCGTCAAAGGATTAATATTCCGAGACACGTTCGGAACATTCAAAATGGCGCGATAACTTTCTAACCTATCATAGAGGGGTTATAATTAAAATTTTATTCGTTTAAAGCGAATAATATAATCATTAAATAGCAATTATGATCTTCGATTTCGAAGCTTTATTGGGATTTTTGTATTTTTCCTACGAAAGAAGAATCCCTAAATTCAATGTTACGAAATTTGTAATTTTTACACCGTATATGAATTTGATAATATAAATACAAAAGTGATAAAAAATCGAAATTAACTTTATCGGAACGTTGGAACAATTTATCACATCCGAAATGAATTTTATTTTGCAACGCTACAGTTTCTGCACGAGTTTTCTGGCACTCGTTCGAGCACCAGTAGTAACGTCCTATATTGGCCAGACCTGGCGTCGAACTATCTCTGCCTGAAGTCTCCGGCATTCGCTACTACTATTAGTAATACCAGTGCACCAATGACACGTTCTGTGTTTCTGAAGTAGTAGCAGCTACACTATCCCGGACAACAGAGATCGACGTCTGCCAGATATCTAGTTTTCCAGCATCTGCCGAGTTTCAATGATAGCAGATTGCAGGTCTCTGCAGGGAATTGAATATCCCTCGTATGTTTGAGACAGAAAAGAGCGAAACCAATTAGCCTAAGTATATGAAAAATTTATTTTTCGCGAATTTTAATTATCTGATTGCATTAAACCTTTAATTTTAATGACAGGGACCCTCGGCCTTGTTATTCTTCCATTATCGCGACACATCGTTGGTATGTCCCCATTCTATTTCATCCTCACGTCTTTCGCATACAAACCTATAACCTATACCGATTAAATTCTCTACCTATCCCTTGACATTAATATCGACAGTGTGTCGACTGAGCCAAGACTAAGCTTTCGAAATTCCCCAAACTCTGTCATGGATAATTCATAAAAATACTCCAACCCGACCCAAGAAATAAAATCTGTCAAACCAAATCCTCGCTATTCTCTGTTGAGACAAATTGCAAAATCCCAAACAGCAAAGATAGAAAAAAAAAAAAAAAAAAAAAAAAAAAGAAAAATGGCAGGATGAGAGAAAAGGGGAAAGAAAAGAAGACGAAACAAACGAGGGGACACTTTAACCGAGGAAACATTTATCTGGAGAGTTCCGTCAGTTTCCTCAGCAGAAAATAAGCACTCGTCTTAGCCACGCGAATATCCCATTCCACTCACGGTGGCAAACAATGGCCGGCAATTATCAGAACGCAGAGGTTCATCGTGGCCGATCGTTGACCGGATTCCAGAAACCGTATCACGCGTTGAGCAACGACGCCCGTTGAATCTGGACTCCTATTTTCCGTGGCCGCAACACAACGTGCGCCTCTCAGTTTACAAATCCGACGCTATCGATTTCCTATTAGCATCAGGTAAACCGCCAACGTTATTGGCCAAGACCTGCAAAGCCAGTAGTCGCGGACTAGAACGGATCAGCCGGTAAGAGTTGCGTGTATATATATATGTATATACACGTCCGTGTATACATATAAATCATAAAGCAGCGCGATATCGGCGTTACATTAGCCTCAATTACCTTCTAACGCTAATGCTCGCGTCGCTAACGACTTTGGCCACGCTAATGCTCCGCGTTTATGCACGCGTGTGCCATGTGTCAGTGCGGGCCTAACCGAGCGTGCTAAGGTGCAAGGCGAACATGCGTGCGCGGTGAAGGAAGCACATAAGTTAGCTGAAAGTGACTTAAGAAGAGATCACGGCAGCGAGATCGTGTATCTTACAGGTGAACTTCGTGGGCTTGCGAGATAATTATATTACACAGGATTTAGATAAATAAAAATACGAGGTGAGATTCTATTTTTGTGGCAGGTTTTGTGTGGGAATGGATTCTCAGAAGTTGTGGTCAGTGTCACCCTGCTGTGATCTCTTCTTAAGCTAGATGTTCCGAATGTTAGAACGCACTGCTCGAAATCTGCCTGAATTTACATACGAAAATAGACCAAGGACTTCGAATATGACTGGATTCATTTTCACCAAAAGTAATCGAAATTTTCCTGATATTTAATGCAATATGATACTATTCAATTACGAAAATTCGCTATTCTTAACCCTTATCGGTCGTAAGTCACCTCTCACGTGACAACGATACACGTGGAAGGTGACAAAACAGAAATCTTGACAGCTTATTGAGAATCACGTATAAAAGCTAGCGTCCGATAAGGGTTAATACAAAACCTACAAATTCCGATGAGATAACCTACCACAGTAGATGAGGGAAAGAGAATGAAAAATTTCCAAAGAATTTCCAAGAGGTTGAAAAATGAATTACTCTGACCGCGTGGAAGAAAATAATTCAACGTCAAAGGTAACTGTCTTAATTATCCTGCTATAGTAGATGCACGAGGTAGAGAGTTGGCATAGGTGGAATCAAACCGGGATAGAACTCGAGGCGACTCGCTGGGGGCAGTTCGAGCAGTGCGTTATGAAGGTTAGTTACATCCTCGAACGAGTTGCGGAAGGGCAGACAACTAGTACTTGTTACTCACCGTCGTTGTTAGTTCTCGCTCGCGGCGGGGATGAGCTGACCGTGGGGAAATTTCGAGAGACGTTGTCTCTGGGCTGCGATTGCGGCCCTTCGAGGTTCGGGCTGGGGCTGAACTCCGCCCTGAAGTCGGCTCTGTCGAAGCCCTCCTCGAACCGATGCATCAGATTCACCTCGTCCACCTCCACGTCGGCTTGGTATTGTTCTCTTAGCACGGCCCTCGGCACTGCAAGCAGAAAATTGAAAAAGAAATGAGTTTCGGTTAATGAGCTTCTGAAAGTAAATTCACGGCGAGTGTATAGGAAACTGGGATTTTTTATGCGTTTCCGAGGTTCTTTAACATCAGCCAAGAGAAATCTTCTGCCGTATCTTCGCTACTATACTCGTACACGTTTCGTGCAATTCTATTTTTTACCCGGCTATTTATTTTTATTGCTCCTCCTTCGTTTGCATCCCGCTTTCTACCGGGGGGTTTTCATTGTGTATCCTTTAAGATTTTTATATCGTACGAACGTATTATTACCGGCGCTTTTATTTCGAGAAATACTTTGGCGTAATTTCGAATGAAAAATGTTGATATTTCTTTTTATCGGGAAATCTATCTTTTGTTAAGATCTATTGCAGCTCGTTCGGATTGATTTTTTTTAACAACCGGAATAAAATGGTCGGTATTTAACGTTGGGAACGGTTAAGCTTGCTCTGTCCTGGCTAGAGTAGAAAAGTTGAAAATTGGGCTTCACCGCTTCAGCCAGGAATTTTTAATTAAGTAAATAGTGCTTTCGCGTTAATAGGAATAGGTAAACGTAATTAACCTCTATTTGTATAACTGCACGTGTGTTTGGTATTTAAATGTTAATTACTCGCGTTTACGCGTAATTGCATAATTCAAATATACATGCATAAGGAGATGGCGAAATGTATATACAATATTAAATGTCATTACAATTTTCATTACACGTATTTCATAAACCCTAATTCTCTCGCGATAAATACTTAAAAAATTAGGATTTTATGTATAAATTCTACGTAAAGAAATAATACCAATATAATAATATTACTATTCGATAAATTTTATATTTTAATTCCTATGGAAAATAATCCTTCGTTTAATACTAAATGGAAAGCCTATTTTCCTTCTCATTTGATTCGCGAAAAAGAAGAATGAACTAATTTTAATATTAAGCAACAAATTACTATGTTATTACACGTCTCGTTTAATTAATCAATAATTTCGAACAATAGACATAGTACAACAGTGATTCCTCGGCTATTCTCTCAGCCAGCAAGGATGAAATAATCTCGATTGCCGTTGATCCAATAAGATCCTTCGTTCCTCGATCTGACAGTAGTCGATTTATTTCCGGCCGCATAATGTTCGACTTCGATATACGGACTGCACTATCGATACTCCGCATCACGTATGCAATTGCATTTCAGGCGGACAAGCACGTAGACACGAAATCAGTGTCTTGCACTGACGTAGACGTGTTACACAACGCATCTCGAATCACTATGCCGTTTGAAAATTCGCGATGAGGTTATTAAACTTCATGGTATAATTTAAAAATACCTAAACTGAGAAACTACACGAGGGTTAACGTATAACAACGTATTCAGAACGACTAAACGGAACCTAAGCTAACGCAAAGACACGCGGAGTTGAGGTGTTTACGCTGGAGGCAGAATAGAGATAAGGGAATATTCCGTATATCGAACCTGACTCGACCTATGATGGTTTCGAAATCTATATTTCACGTAGTACGAAAACAAGATCGACGTCACAGTTTTTGTCTCGCGTCGAATACCTCACGCTAGCCCTATGTTTACGTCAGCGTCCCCCCCCCCCCTTCTCCTAACCGCTCGCTTAGACTCGACACGTGCTGTTCACTCCCGTTTTTATACTACGCGATACGGATCTTTATATAAAAATAAAACTTCCACGCAATGACGAGAATTCGTGCTACCTATCACTACGTTTGTTCTAGAAACTGTGACGTCATGAGAAATACATCCGCATTCCTATCGGCAGCCATCTTGTCTCACCGTACCTGACGCCATCTTGGACGCGCGATACTTCTAGATTATTTCCAGAATATTCTAACGCACTAATACGATAAATTACGCGCTTATTCTTATATCTTATATTAAATCATTCAAACTTATTTCACATCATCGCTAATGATTTATGGTTGTCTGTTATTCGATCTCGATGTGTCCTGTTTAATCTCTTTATCACGCCACGTGGCACATTTTACGATTATACAGCTATCACGTAATTAACGCACTTAAAAGACGGTTTACCTAATTATATGTACGATTCCGTTAAAGAAGGACCTGCTACATACACGCTATTACGCTATATGTAAAATTACTTATGAGTACATACCTCATGACTACGTAGAATATTTGTGACGTGGCATACAGGACGAGCGACCAAAAGGACGTCAGCCGTCGACGGAGGGCGACACAAGACTGATTCGTCAACTTTCGGCTTTCGTCGGCGACCGATCGTAAACGTTCGGCAACCGTCGACTATACGCGACGTTCACACCGCAGAATTATACATGTCTGACTTATTGTTAGCGGAAATATAAACAGAAACGTTCGTCCAGTGATACTCCTGATTATTATTCGTTCACACCGAATGTGAATATCTTATTCAAATAAAGTAACTGTGAATAATTATTTATTTGACAATTATTATTCGCTGAATATCCAACCGGACACCGTCCATTGTGATTGCGAGGACAGTTTGCTAACCTGATTTTTTTATTTTGTTCCATAGTCGCAAATGGTAATTATATAATTGCAGAGATACGTTATTTTATTATGGACAGGAAGAAGATTAAAGGAATTAATATTAATAATTATTTAATATCCATTTTCTCATTACTGTATCCTTTTCATGGCATTATTATACGTCGAATTTTACAGAGAGGTAGAAAAGGAAAATAATAATTTTAAAATCTCGTAGTACTCATTGATGGAATCACGAAATATGTATTTACAACTTATAAAAGCCAACTCTTTCGACTAGAATAGTGGTACTAGCAGGAGTATTAAATATTATATTCTGTCCATCAAAAAAAGGCAGAAAATATTAACAAACCGTTCACGTTAATGGTTGTTAAACGTCGATGTTCAGGGACGAATAATGAAGAACCCTTATTAAACGGTGTTCCAGCCCTGTTCTGATCA